AAAGGGAAGAGTAGCATATTATCAAGCAAAGCTCCTCCAGACTTGCATAGTTTAGTCCTGGGGAACAATCCTAATTTTGGATTAAATTCTGTTCCACGGCTTGAATTACTGTAGAAAGCGTTGCAGAGTAGTCTAGCATAGGTGCCCTACTGAAGATTTTGATGTAAAATCTTATCTTTGTTGCACAGACACATAAATGTGTGAAAAGTGACCATCCTATCATTGTATAACTGGATATTTTGCGTGCTTAGAAGACTTACTTGGAGCTGTAAGATAATTGTTTTTCCATTCAATTGTTTACTAAATGTTACATTCCTGTTTGTCTTCCATCCCACGTTTACAAAACCTCTCCCCTTCTCTCTCTCTCCCCCCCTCCTCTCTCTACACATACAGAGAGCGACGGAGAGATGCCCACCACTCGACATGGTAAAAATTATTACTGCGTTGCTTTTCAACAAGCAATTTGGCTAGTAACTCTATTTATGGAAGGCGGAGCTTATGAATGAGGGTGGTGTTTCTGACCTCACATCCTGTTTAGGCCTTGTGGGTTTCTTTGAAAACGAAAAATATCCTTTTACTGCACACGGGATTTGCAACAGTATTTATATTTTTGTAAAGGAAGGGGAGACAAAGTGGAACAGTCTGACCTGCTTTTCCTGCTGCCGTGAGAGGCTGCTCTGTGGCAGCCTAGACCTGGCCAAGGGACCATCTCCTCTCTTCTTCTTCTTCTTCTCCACCCCCACCCTCCCGCACGCAGCATAGTTACAACAAAGAACATACTGTGGGGTGGGGAAGGGGGCAGGAAGGGATGCAGCATTAATCTTCTCCTTTAGGGCTCGTGGCTGGAGCAAATTCCGTGAGAACAAGGGACAGGCGACGGCAGGAAGAAAGGATTTGGCCAGAGAGGTGAGCAGTTGCGCTGGGGAATTTCGCGTGGGTTTTGGAGGGGGGTTGCTTAAGTATAGAGGAAGCCGGGGATGCGCTCACAAAGGGCCAGGTTTCTCGTCCCTGCTCCCAGGTCATTCTTCCTGGAGGCGGGCGCTTATACCGGAATTTGGAAAGGAAGGTTTGGAGAGAGAAGGAAGTCGGAGGATGCGGTAGGCCGGCCTATAAAGGATATAGGGCAAGCTAATGTTCTTGATGCGGTACTTTGTAATAAATGGTTGCTGAGATTATTGTGTTCTACCAGCGGCGGGGTTGTTTTTTTTTTTTTACCTTGTTATTGTCACCAGTAATCTCTAATATTAATGTCATGTCTTAATAATCGTATTTGCGAGATGTGGTGTTAGGTGAGCTAGTGTCAACTTTAGGAGTGATGGGACGCATGGAGAGGAGGCTTTCTAATTTGGGGAGAGGAATGTTGAGGAAGGCGGAGCATCCTCTGTGTTGAGAAAAGAGCCAGATGATTTGAATACATGTGGGAGATTAGGATTTAAGGACCGTGTTCGGGCAATGCTCCTGGAAAGAGAGAGTGGGTTGATGCATTGCTTGATGTGTGTGTGTGTGTGTGTGTGTTGTCACTGTGATTATAAAATCCTGCAGAATTCCTGATACATTGCTATTGTGTCTTTGGTCAAAAAGATTGTTACATAAATTGAATCATTACTTCTGTAAACATATTAAAGCAGTCAGATTAAGAGGAGAACAAAACTTTTATCATTTTTAGCAGTTGAGTAAGAGGTTTTTTGAAATAGCTGGTTGTGCAGCAGTGAGAAAAAGAATCTACATCATTGTCACAGTTATTAAAGGTGCAAGGATTTTCTCCTTCACATTTGATGGCCTTAACATTTGCATGAATGTGGGAGAGAGGACTCAGATTGCTTACTTAGCATGAAGATAATTTGTGTTGGATGACCCAACTTGAGTGGTTCTTGGCAACAATTTCAACTGTTTTTGAAGTCTATTTCTTAGTTTGTTTCTCTACACAGAAAGCAAGTAGCAGCTGGGTTCCAGGTGTTGTAGTTATTGGAGTTTATTTATGAAGTGTTTAATATTGTTTAGGGACTAGTATTTATAACTATCTAATGTGTTGCTATTGCATGTAAAAGATGTGATTTAGTCTGGAAAAGAATGAGTAGAGTAAGATTGCTTGGAAAGAGAGATTTAAGAAGTTAACAAAATTCATATTTGTTTCCCGTTTCCCTTTTGCACAGCCCATCCTGTATTTGAGGGAATTATGTTCCGGTTCATGAGAGATGGAGAGCCAGAGGATCCAATGTTTATGATGTGAGTCAAGCATCCTAGCCTTTCTATATAGGAGAAAAGGATTAGAATAATTTTCTTAATGGTTATCCACAAGGATTTTGCAAATATCACTGTTAGAATCACAAAAACAACATTTAAAAATGTTCCAAAACTCAGGGAATGCCTAATGTCACAATATTTTGATACTTTGCCTGAAATATCTTGAGATTCTGAAGTCTTGAAAGGTTTTTTATTTTAATTTTTAAAAATTAAGAATTATGGTTTCTCAGACACTACCTAGAATGGCCTTTTTATCTATATGATGTCTTAAGTCATTGGTGATTTTCTTCAGAAGCTTTTGCCTGATGACATATGAAGTAAAAGGTTGTGAACCATTGCTCTAGGAGAAGGAAACAGGACTGTGGGATTGATATGGATTATTTAGCAGTTTAACTCCCTTGTGAAACTTCCTTTCCCATAGGGATCCTCTTGCCATCCATCAGCAGCATGTGAATCGTGTGCTTTCAGGTGGATTTGGATATAGCCCTTTCCTCAGCATTGGCAATGGGACAGTACCTGGAACACGCCAAGTTAGTCGAAGAATGCAGGTAATTCAAAAGTCAGAGGATTGTGGCTAGATCTGTTTATTTTTCTATCAAACTTAATTTTTAACTTAGTGCTTTGGCTTGATGAGAAGAGTCTGGATTCTGTCTTGGTTATGTATTTATAACCAGAGAAAGAAGGATACTGCACTCCCCAACATCAAAACAGAATGATGCAATTAATTTTTAATTTATATTCTACTTTGTCACTTGGTGAGACTTTAGTCATGTACATGATTAATATAAGCACATAATTACACCAAAATGAAATAAAAAAAGAGCAGTTGAAAATAGCTCTAGTTAAATTCCAGCAACACAATTTTAATTTAGAGCCTGTAACTTTCAGTGTGTCTGAGAACAGGATTGTGCAAATATGAAATGGGAATGGAAATGACTAATTAAAATATTGGTGACTTACCAAGGTTTCCCCCCAAATTGCTACTTTTTAACTTGAGGGCAAAGGCCCAACCATTCCTTAGCAAAACACATAGCTACCTCTTCCTTGAGCAAAACTAATGAGTTGCTGTTTCATTGGCTGCACAATGAAACTTGGAAGGTACATCGTTGTCTACTTGGTCTACTTCGTAATACATTGTGTTATATATGGTACTCTTGCTTATATATGCTACTCCTACCCATTTTAATTTAGGAAGATCAATCTCAGTAACTCACAGATTGAAATTATCCTCGGGATTGGTTTTATCTAAAACTCATTTCTGTTATCAAAGATAACTGATGGAGAAATTAAACATATCAATCACAGAACAGTGCACTTGGGAACATTTCATCTTTTCTCTTCCCCCCCCCCCCCCGAATTAGATCTATACTTTCTGTTTCCTTCTTTATCCAATTTCAAAGCAGAAAAACTTCTGTCTTTTATTCAATTACCCTTTGGAGAATCTATGACCAGGGATTTTACAATTTTCTTATTTATTAAAACTTTACACCACTCCCAGCGATTGCAAGTGGTTAATATGATTATGCCTATATTTATAGACATTCTCAAAATAGTTTATTTAGCAAGGGGCTGAAGCAAGGCTTATTTATTTTATTTTATTAAATCAAATTTCTACCCTGCCACACTCAGATGATAATTTAGCAGTTTATGGAAGACAAAAATTAAAACATTGAAAGTCAGATTAAAATGTAGTTACACTAACAATCAATAGAATAAATGTGTTGGATAAAAACAAAAACAAAAGATAACAGTAAAAATAAATATAAATAAAAAGAACAGTTAAAGAGAAAAAAAGAACAAGAAAAAGCCAATTTCTTTGCAGATAAAATACAAAATTTCATTTATTAATGTTTCTATAGTTGTAATTTTAATTTTGGATTTCTATTATTTTACTTTATTTGCCTCTTCTTTATCTGTCAAGATATTCAGCCCATGACTTTCATTGTATTTAAGTTAACACAACGTTGCTTGATTGGAGGTTTTGTGTGTATATTTTAACTTCATTTGGGCAAAATTTCTAATTGTTAAATGAAGTCGGCTTGCATTTTGGAGATTTCTTGTCAAGTATTGTCATATTTTTTGTATTTATTTATTTATGACCTTTATAATTTCTCTTACATGATTTTAAATAACCTTCAGGCTTCTGCAAGGAATGTGACATTAAAGTCTACTGGCTAAAATTTTCCCTAAAATAGATAACACTTATCAACATCCATCTTATTTCAATTCCTAGAAACCAAATAAAGGGTTATTTAGGTTTGTCTCTTATCTCGTAGTTTCATGGCCAAGACAGCATCTTATATTGAATTAGTTGAGAATATATTCTATATATTCTCAGTTCTGTTTATATCAACATAAATTCATCAGCACTGACAAGCATATAGTAAACTATAGATTTTGGCTCTTTAACACAAATTTGGGTAATAATCAATTTGAGAATAGTTAAAGTTCTAAAATATACTAATTTAAATTAAGGTACTGAGTTCCTTTGTCCTTCTCTATGCTAGATAAAACAAGATTACTCTAGAGAGGTAAAGTCTAATTACTTTGTGTCCCTTTCTTGTTTTTATAGCCTGGAACTGTTTCGCCCTTTGGGATGCTAGGAATGGTAAGCCATAATTTTCTTCTTTCGACAACTACTTGTTCTAGCCTGGTTTTTGTGATGATCTTTTCTGGGAAATACTTCAGTTTTCTTCAGTTTGTGGTAGTTTAAATATATAACTGAAAATAATGAGGATAGTAACATTTCTCAAATAGCAACAATGAGTATGATTTTTATATAGCTCTCAGTTATTAAAAATGATGCTGGCTGGAAAGGAGTTGAATTCCCCTCTTTCTAGACAGAAAGCTGGGGTTTCACTTTTTCATCTAGTGGGTGGAACAGCTTGCCCTGTCTGCCTTAGCTCTGCCTTCTAAATAAGAACAGCTTTTCCTTTTGCCTCCATTTTAGGCTGAGAATCGCGGTTGTTATGTAACATTATTACATACATCATCATCATCACTACTATTACTGTTATCTGGTGCATCCAAAGAAAGAAGGGGAGGGAGAATGATGCAGTATTTTGGGAATCTTGCAATCTGTCCAGATACTACTTGAGAAGAAGATGATGATGATGATGAAGCTGCCAGGAATGGGTGATGGCATTGAAAGAGGGTCCACAGGAAGACCTTGTTTGTGTGGTCTAGATGCAATCAGGTTCCATGGTCACCTAGGGAAGCGTAATCTATAAGCCATGATCTAGGCTGACATCATATAAAAAGAACACAATTCTTTCTTTCCCACCTTTTCTCCTGATGTTCTTCCTCCAAGAAGCACAAGCCAAACAAAGAGGCCAGCCATTTTTTTCTTCATTAGCAACAAGTGCAGTAGAGGAGCACTGAAGGTTAAGGTGGGCATCATCCCAGCAGCTTCTCTTCACCTGCCATCAAAGGAAGCTGGACAAGCTATAAACATTTAGGAAAAGAGGTGCCAGGGAGTCAAAAAATACTCCTCTGAACTTTCAGGAACAATGAAATGGACATTTTGTCAGGGGAAATGGGAATGAACCCAAATTGCTGAGCACATTGTAAGCCGCCCTGAGTCTCCGGAGAAGGGCGGCATATAAATCAAATTTAAAAAAAAAAAAAAAAAAATAAGTTAGGAGAATCTTCCATCACCTTAGTAAAGGAGCACAGGATCTAGAGAAATCAGATCTGCAATGGTTTCTCAAGCAGATGGGCATAGCACTGTTGGAACATGTACCCCTGGGAGTGGAAGGGATGAGTTTTACTTTGCCAGATCATGGCAGAACTGAAGGGTTCAGGATGCAAAGGCCTTAGAATTTCCACTACTACTCTCCTGCTGCATCTTCTTAGAATACTCGCAATCACAGTCTCAGAAGAAGCCTAGCAGGCATCAAATGATACTTATTCAGAGAATGTGAGAGAGGGTTATGAGGGAGTTTTCTACCACCTACATTCTTGGTTTTCATTGCATTAAGTGGGAACGATGAAGTCACATTCAAAATCATAAAATAGAGGGGAAGCTTTGTGAAGCAAGCAGGTTTCATAATGAGAAGTTTAAGGAGGCTAAGAATGGCTTCCAGAAAATATTTCATGCTGATCTGTTTTCAGTACTGATGAGGAATTAGGCAAAAGTATTTAATTGAAAGTTGTTATTAGCACCAGCATAATCTATAAAGCTATAGGAACATAACATGTGGTCAAGGGTTCTCACCTTCTTGAAGTTCAGACTTAAAGGCCCTGCTTCCAGTTCTTTTCACAGAACTTATAAAAAAGGGAATGGGCAAAGCTGACTAAGCACACATAGACCCCATATTTATCTTCTGCAGGAGGCCATGAAATGACAAGGCATTGCCCTTGATTGACAAACAGCTGTCTTGTCTTCAATGCTGTACAAAGAGAAAGAGATGAAATGCTCATGGACCTATAAAATGTAGAGCAGATGGAATGCTAAAGCATAAATAAAGCATTGGGCATTTTGGTGACAGGCTATGTCTTCTATACCTACCAGAGGAATGATAATTTACAATGATAACAAGAATTGTTCAACGACATAATTCAAAAATGTCAGGGAAGCAATCAGCAAGTTTGCAAAAGCATTCAGACTGATTGCAGATACAATCTTGGGTGGATTAGAGTTTGCAGCCACCTCCCCTGAAATACAGGTATATTGGAATTTGTGACTTGCATATTGGCCAGAAGACCACCATGCAAGAATCAATCTTGCAGCCAAAACTTTTTTGTAAAAAAAATTGGAGAAACCATTGACCCATTGGTTGATGTTGAAAAAAATCTGAGGCAAATTGAGGCAAAGAATGGAAATATAAAATACTCTACAAGCCATGCAAGTTGTTTTAATGTCGGAAATGGGCATCAGAGATATCGAGAGAAGTATCATAGCAATAGATACAAAAGGAAAATCCCAGACAAAATGAGTCTAATTAATAGTACCACCTCCTAAGTGAATGGTTTTACTGCCAAGATTTTGGCATACTGGGAGCATACTTTCAGAGGCAAATTTGGAAAAGAAAATTTAAAAGGGATACATGTTAAAGCAATGCCAAGGGATAGGTAATCTTTGATCTATGACCTTTCATTCAGTGACCAAAGTTACGATGGCATGAATGAATAGTGATTATGGCTGGTACTCAAAATTCTGGCCATCCCAGTATCCATAGTTACATGATCATAATCGGAACTCTAGGCAACCAGTTCGTGCTTACGATTGGTTGTAGCACCCTTGTGATCACGTGATTGCCATTTGCAACCTTCCTTGCCAGCTTCCCCAGAAAATCAGTGAGGAAGCTAGCAGGGAAGATTGCAATTCACTAGGGTAAGTCTCCCCCACCAGTGCACTCTCCTCCAGCCCCTCTATGGCAGCCATTCATGCATCCCTGTGTACATTCCCCCATCCAGCAGTAGCCACTTACCTGCCTGCCAGCCTGGAACTTACAACTTCCTACCAACTTTCCCACTGACTTTGGTTGTGGGAAACTGGCAGGAAGTTGGCTCAACAAATGAGGATTTCATTAGCAGTGGCAACCAGGACTGCTGGGATTGCCATCACTAAGTGATGTGGTTGTGCTTTATGACTGCATCACTTAGCAATTCCAGTCCCAATTGCTCTTGTAATTGCAGACTACCTGTACTGTCATAAATTTCCAAAAATTTAGAGAACCTTACAGGATATTAAAGTCATAGGCTAATTTCTGGACATTGAGGCAGTAGACTGAGTTCTAAGGCAAAAAAGATCCTCGTCTATTTTCCATTCCATGACAGAGCCAAAAAAGAACAGGATTTGCAGCCAAACCTGAGCGCATTTTGCTTGGTGTTAAAAGCATTGACCCATCCAGTAAACGTTATGACAAAACTTTACGACCACTTATAAGCACAGGAAAATTCATTAAATGATGCGGTCATTAAGTTAGATAACACATGATCACAACTTACAACCTTCTATCAGCCTTTCCTAATGACTGCTTGTTGGAAGCAGATTGGGAAAATCACATGTAGTGATCACGTGACTGCAGCATATTGTAGCTGGAATTGGTTGCAGAGTGCCTGGATCACAATCGCATGACCACAGGGATGTGACAGTTGTAAATGCAAGGACTCTAAGTCACCTTTTTAGTGCCATCATTACTTCAAACAATTGGTAAATGAACAATCCTAAATCAAGGACTATCTGTACATCAAGAAGAGTGAAATGAGATTATAGATGGAAGAATCACATAGTTGGGTGAAAACATCTCTGGCTTCCTGTCAGTAGAGCATGTAAAAGATGCATAGAGTAGAATTGTGGACCAGGGGAACTAAGAGCCTGACTTGGATGGGTAAGTGTATCCTTGCTAGATCCACGGTTCCCTGTTTACAACAGTGGACAACAGGAAAGCAAGAAGATTCATCTGATTTCAAATTCCAGGGCAAAAGGAACTGATGCCCACCTGGCACTATGGCCAAAGAGACTAATATATAAACACTAATCCTGTCTAAGCTGATACACAAAATGAGGATATTCAGGGCATGTATAATCTTAATTCCCCCTTCTTGCCCTGCAGACATTGGTGCTGAACAGTATGGAGATAAGTAGGAAGCTTCCCAGATATCTGTCAGTACAGCCAAACATACTGAGCCTAGATCTTGGAATGACTTCACTTCTATGCCTGAAATTTAAAAGGGACATCTTCTGAGTGCCAGCTTGCCAGACTTCAGCAGTGACACCATCTTGGCATCCAGGTTATCTAAATACCATCAGAAACTTGCCATGCCTTTAAACACTGGTGCAGAAGATAGAGATGAAGAGTAATAGGTTTCTAGAGATAGGTCTGGATAATACCCTTGAAAACCAGTACCTTCCAAAATCAGGTCACTCATCTGGGATTCAAACTATAGGACAGATAAAATTTTTATTTTGCAACATCCCAAAATTCAGTATTTTCACAGGGGGATTAATCAACTATTTCCCCCAGTTACGCACCGTTTTCCTTTATGGGATCTGATATTAATTCTGGGACTAATTAACCCTGTCCCCTTTAACACATTAGAGTGAACCCCATGAGCACTCTTGCACAGAAATAAACTTTTCTAATGGAAATCTCCTTCACCTGTGAGATCTGAGAAAGTAGAGAGTCTCTCAAAGGAGACTTGTATGTGCTCCACCAACCCAAGGTAGTTTTGAGACTTTACGCAGGGTTTTATGCCAAAGATTAAATTCTAACTTTCTCAGGGGATATGAGATACTGCTGCCAGATTTCTTCCCAAATCTGCATAAAATATTAGACATATACAGAACCTTAAGGGTTTGCCTTAAGTCCATTCTAGGGAGCAGAAGGCTTATTCCTCCTCTTTGAGAAATGAAATGATACAGATGGATCAGTGATTATATTATTCTGACCTAGTCAAGCAAATCCTGACTGACATCACAGCCTATTTAATCAGCCTCAGGAGATCTAGAAGTGAGGATTCTGCTAATAAACCTCTATAGGGTGAGAACTTGGGCAAATGCAACTAGCTTCCAAGGCAGACAAATTCGATCCTGATACTCTGTACTACAGACAATGCCTTAACTCATGCTGATCAACCTGGCACACTGCTACAAGTATAGACTTTCTGGTTGGCTTCATCTTTGATGACTGAGAATTTGCATTTGGACTTGTTACATATTATTGTGGCATCCAAAAGATGGACCAACAATCCCACTCAAATGTAAGGATCTGTACAAGTAATTAGGAGGAATTTGTTAAACTTGTTTTTTATACTTGGCTTTTACATGACTGGTTTTGTGTTTTGTTTTCCTTCTTTACCACACTGAAAATTTGTTTTGTTTCTAAATCATTTTCTCAGCTGAAGTCATTATGGGAGTATTCCTTCCACCAGATGCAAAATGCTAACCTGTGCTTTCTGACTAGAAGAGGGAAAGTCTTTTTCAAAACAATTAAAAGAGATAAAAAAACAGGAATTTCTGGTAAAAATATCAATAAATTTACTGAATTTGATTTAAGCTTTTCTCGATTACCTTTTATGATTTGATATTAGGATAGTTTGGTAGCTTATAAATCCAGTAAATAAATATATATACTACTAAAACTCTAGTTGTCAGTTCCTTTAACTAGGCAAAACCCTACATCATAGGGCAACCGTTTTTGAACCAAGGTAACTCAGATGGGCTAACTTATAGAGTGGGTCAAAATTTGGGACTCATAAATCCCAATGGAATGAAATTTGGGAAAGTGGTGGTTGCTTCATGGCTACTGGCTGCTGCTGTGCTGCTGCAGCCACATGATCTTCATTTTCAGTGACAGTTTTTCAGCCAGCCTTGATTTACCTCACTCCTTCCCACACACCCAATAGCTGCCACTTATCTGCCTACTGAGAAGGGATATTTCCAATGTTCCCTGCCAGATTCCCACAAGGAAATTCAGTAGGGAAGCTGACAGGAATTCACTCCTCCTTCCTCTGCTTTTTGCCCACTCTTGGTTATTCTGTTTTTTTGTTTAGGTAAGGAAATGTCTCTGAAATGATGACATAATAAGATGTTTAGTATGTCCTAAAACCATATTGTAATGTATATGTTCTTAAATGCATATTTATTCTAAGTGTATCATTTAGTACTTAGCAGATTGCAGATAGGGAGGAAAAGCTAATTGAGAGTTCTAGAGAAATTTAGACACATATTCACCAGAAAGTTAACTGATTATGATAAAAACCATTTTCAAATCACATGTAGTCTACTCCAAATAAATAAACAGATCTAAGGTGTTACCCCTATGTATCAGACCTAAGATCATCTAAGTATATCCTGGCCCATATCCAGAGCCTGGATATTAAATTTCTCTAGCATTAAAGCCCAGGACACTCCAGCACTAGCTGGACCTCTGGAAACATGTGCAAACCTACTGTTAGAAGCAGGATAATCATAACATCAACCCAGGGGTGAAATTCAGGCGGTTCTATCTGGCTCGGGCAAACCAGTAGCAGCAGCTGTGGGAGGCTCCGCCCACCTGCGCGGATGTCATGATGTTGCTTTTTTGCGACATTTTAAGCCTCTACGCATGGGCAGAAGGCTTTGCGCATGTATGGATGATGGCGCGAGCGAAGTGAGCGCGAGCATGGCACGCACACATTTACAAACCGGTAGGGAAGGTAAGTGAATTTCACCCCTGCATCAACCCAGACGTTACTTTCTGGCCCAGCTTCACTTAAAGGGCATTTATATCTGGTAACCTATGGAGTAGCATATACGATCAGTGCCAAGGTCTCTTGAAAAATTGTTGTTATGATCCTTTCTAGACCTGGTTATTATGAGTGCTGCCTGAAATTCAGGAGGTCAAATGTTAAGGCTACGTTCCTGTCCTCACTTGCAAGGTTTGTGTGATGCAAGCCCCACCTCGACCCATAACACCTCTTGAATGGTGGCATTCCCAGCAAATGCTTTTGTAGAACTAGCATCAATTTCAGTAGTCTCTCTCCTCCAGCTGCCATTTCCAATTACACTCTATAAAAGGGCTCTTCTTTGCTGCTGCCATTCTGCTCCACTTTCTTTCATGGCCCGTCTTTTTCCAAGCTCATTGATCTTCCTCGTGGTTTGGCTATAGTGGCCACAACAATGCATGGCATTGAATATTTTTTTTTAATTGCTACAGATATTCATAGAGGCAACACCTTATATATGGTTTTTTTTTAACTTGGAGTAGATTATATGTGATTTGAAAATGGAAGACACTGTAAACGGTGTTTACCATAATCGGATAACTTTCTGATGAATATGTATCTAAATTTGTCTAGAATTCTGAATTATCTTTTCTTCCCTATCTGCAATCTGCTAAGTACCACATGATAGTGGCCATAACAATGCATGGCATAGTGGTCTCCTTGAATTCTTAAAAAAAATATTGCTACAGATATGTTTAGTAAGCTAGGAAGTGTGTTTGGAGTTTGGAGCATTCATATCATTAAGAGTATAGAACCATGATGGCGAACCTATGGCATGTGTGCTACAGGTGGCATGCAGTGCCCTCTCTGTGGGCACGCAAGCCATCGCCCCAGTTCAGCTCTGCCACACATGTGCCTCCTGCTGGCCAGCTGGTCGTCAGGTCTCTGCCGTGCATGCGCGGGTGGCGGGGTGCATGCGGGAGGCCCGCGCACACATGCACGAGGTGGCAGGGCGCTGTGGGGGTGCGCGCATACGCACGGGGTAGCAGGGTGCATGCGGGGGGCCTCACCCGCATTGCATTTTGGGGGTCCGGGTGTGCGCACAAGCACACTTTGGGCACTCAGTCCAGAAAAGGTTAGCCATCACTGGTATAGAATGTACTCATGAACAGTTCCTAGAAACGGCAACAGCTCCTAATTTCACTGAGTGGTTTCCATGTCTGGTCACTCTCCACAAAGCTTTTTTTCTCTCTTTCAGGCAGGTGGCTTTATGGACATGTTTGGAATGATGAATGACATGATTGGGAACATGGTGAGCTCATTTTGTCTGCATCTCTTTTTCAATATTATTCTAGTATATATTATAGGC